GCGCGGCGACCCCGCGCGGGTGGCCCCGCCGGCTCCCACGGGTGGGCACGGCTGTCACAGGCGGGCACCCCGGGAGAGGCTTCTGGTCTCGGATAAAGGGGAGTGAGGTGAACCGGGAGCGTTCTTTCCGCTTAGGGGACGAAAAATAAAAATCAATGTCAACTTGGTGGAACAGGTCTCACGCTAAAAACGTTGCTCTCCGTGCCCGTGGGACGTTGCCGTAATTACCGGGGAGAGAGAGCCTGAGTCTGGGCAACCAGCGGACCCTTATTGTCTTGCACTTTTTCGGAGCCGGTTACGGAAGGTCCTTAGACTTCAGTGGGGTGCGGAGGGCACAGGCACTTGTGCAGTTGCCGAACCAGAGTGGGAATCCTTTTTTTTTTTTTTTTTCCTTTTCCCTTTCCCCCCCTCCATTCATTATTTGTATATTTTTCCTGCTCCGACTGTGTGCTCTAACGCTAGTGGTGGGTAGAGGACTGGCATTGTCTATCTCGTCACCTTTTAAGTGTATTTAAAATAAGTGACTTAGGCTTTTGATCAATTGGGAAAAATTCTTCTTAATGTCCTTTAATTAATGAGCTTAAGAGAGATCATTGTCGCTTAAGAAGTGCTAAAGGAATACATCGGGATTACTTAGGCAAGTGATTCCATCCTCACCATGTTGAGTTGTTTTCTTGGCAGTGGCTGAAATGCTTGGAATAAAACCCCACATTTTGGGTGGGTTATTTGGTAGCAGAGTAGTCGTTTTGCTCACTTAAGAAGAATGCAGGCAATAGCTAATTGCTATTCTCATGTGTTTGCTAATGACAAACAAATAGCCCATCAGAATTTACAATTCATTCCTTCTTAGTTTTGGCATTTCTTTTGCAGTATTTTCAAACAAGGTTGTAGTTGTCACTAGGCACGTTTTCGTGCAGGGCTTTATTTTTTTTTTTTTTAAAGGCGTCCGATCATTTCTGCCTGCTGTGGTTGCCACTGGGGCGGGGGGGGAAGGAAATAATCCACCATTGAAATATAATTTTGGATTTTATTCTTATTCTTTTACGGGATTAAGGAATCTGTGTGGATTCTGTAATTTGCTCAGAATAAACGTACATATTTTAAAATGTCAAAGGCATTAGTCTAAACCTGTCTTGTAGAATGACGCAACTGGTTAGATGTAAATGCATGAATTACTAGACAAGTTTAAAGATGTAACATTTTGTTTATTTGTGGGTCTGGGGAGGAAAAAAATCAAAGTTTGTAAGCCATATTAACCATACGTATCTCAATTTTTCAGAGGATGGCCAGTATTTTCTAAAGGTCCTCATACCTAGTTATGCTGCTGGATCTATAATTGGGAAGGGAGGACAGACAATTGTTCAGTTGCAGAAAGAGACTGGGGCCACCATCAAGCTGTCTAAATCCAAAGATTTTTACCCAGGTAGGTGCAAAAATTAGCCAATTCTTTATTTTTAAGTCCCAGGGGATGTATGTATGTGTCAGTGTGTTTCATATATGGACAATTAAGCTTCCTGTGCAGCTGGAAGCATTATTTCTCAGAAAAGTGTGTTACAAAGTGCAACAGTGAATATAAATGTTTTGTCTGTCTTGGTGTATGGAATGGACTTGGCACTAACTGCTTGAAATATGTTTAAAGATGTTTACAATGTTTCTGCAAAAAAATATTTTCATAAACATTTTGATTGCTTTGCTTTTTTTGGTTAAAAAAAAATAAAAAAAATACAGCTTTAAGGAACCAACTTGACAGCTGGCGTAAAAATAATTGTTCGTTTGAAGTTTCCAGACATTGTAATGACAATTAAGCTAGAATGAGTAAAAATGAGAGGCCGCCTCTTAAAGAATGGGCCATTTACTTTAAATCCATTATGTACCTTCTTTCTGCTTCGCTGCTTTGTTCACTGGCTCTGGAGTGAAGTAAAGAGGACAAGTGCTGCTCTTTAGATATTCTTTATATTATGTTTATCATGATGGTGGAAGAAAACTCTGTTATAAAAGTGAAATACTTTGGGTGAATAAAGAAATTAGTATTTTATATTAACTATATCAATGCACAAGAAAAAAGTTTTTAATATTTGCATATAACAATAATAAATACCTGACTTAGCATTTCTCCTTTATAAGATTTTTGAAGAGGGAGTCTTACATAATGCTACACAAGATTTTGGCTTCTGCAATTGAATAATCTTTTTCTTTTTTTTTCCTAAAGATGAACAAATTAGCATTCTCTAATTCAACTTTGTTCTAGAGGACTTCTTAAAAACTGATGCAAAATAATAACAGAGCTGACGCTTTTTTTGGCATTTTGATTTTGTTGTTTTGAAGAATAACTGGTGATTTAGAATTGAGTTGACCGGCTGTTACCGACTCTTTTCTGTTGGAAAAATAAGAGCTGCTTTGCATTTGGTCTAGTTTAATAAGATGACTGAATTCTACAAAATAGTGAAGGCAGTTGGTATGGATGTAAACAGAACACTAACATTGGAGCATTGAGCTTTCCTGGCCTCTAACTTTAGTTTCAGGCAGAAGTGGATCATTTTTTATTGTTGGAGAGATTGTGGTCTATTTACAATGATGATTTTTGATGTGGAAATTTTAATGCACCTGTTGTGCATCTCCTCAGTGAATGTAGTTTATAATACTTCAATGTCAGAGGTTAAAGTGATGCATGTAGATTTTTCCTGTTGAAAGATACAGCTTCTGAACTGATGCTTGTTGTCTTTGAGTTTTTTTTCTTTTTTACTTTTCTTTAGAAAGTTAGAAAAAGTGCTTTATTTTGAAAGGTATGTTACGGTGGGAGAAAGAAATCAATATAGAATTGTGAAAACTCTTGGAAGAAATAAAAGCATTCAAAAGAGCCTGATTGCAGAATTAATAATGTAATCCGGGTAAAGAGCCTCAATAGTAAATGAAATTCACTGTCAATAGATGAAAATGAAATAGATTTTCTGCATTATACATGAGGTGGTATCAGATATGCAAGGATGTTACAGAAAATTGGTGTTTATGAAGAATATTCCAAATACCAAATTACAAGTCTTTTCATTTTACTACAGTTTATTTACACTCACTTGGAAAGGATGCTCCAAAGATTAGATCTTTTGTTCAGTGCTCTAGCATAGTTCTTCTGTTTTCTGATTAAATCAGAATTACACATTTTTTTGTGTAGCAAATTGTAAAGATACCGCAGTAGTAGCAGAAAAACCTTTGAGAAATAAAAATTAGCGAGCTAGAATGACATGAGTAGTAACGTTTGTGACATAAACACATTCTCTCTTAAAATCAGTAGTAATAATATAAATAACTAGGGCAGGGAGGCTCAAGCAGTTTCAATGTAGCAGGTGCAAATGAAGTTCCGGGTTGACTTCATAGGGTCTGCTTTGAATTTGCAGCCAGGTTGTGTTGTACAGAAAATGAGAACCTTTAGGTAGTAGGCGACTGATAACTTGCTAAAGCATGGAGCAGGGATGAGAAACGGATTCCAGCGTGGCTAGCTCTCGTTAGTCTTTCTGTTTGCGTTTGACCACCAGCCCATGGAATTTTCGGAGGTCCTGGCATTCTCTGAGCTGATGACTTTTGGGTTTCTTCCAGACGCTCGTGCTCATGTAGCATTAGGGAATACAAACCTTGTGAAATAGCTGATACAAAGATACAGTTTATTTTTCTTACAAAGTCTCTTAAACAATTGTTCTGTTTTCCTAATAGAAGTTACATAGTCTGTACCTCTGATGCTTGTGACTATAAATGTGTCTAATGTACGTTTCGCTATGGAATGTTCTCTTACCGAAGCTTCTGTGGAACTTTGCTGCGTTTCCGAAAAGTTTTAGCACAGTCTGAGTAAGTTGCTGTTCGGAAAGGAGGAAGTTGGTTGTAATACAGAAGTCATGAGTGGTTCCTATGATCTAATAGTGTTCTTTTTTTTTCCTCTGTGATATAGGACTTCAGTATGCAGACTGATTTCTGTTGGAATTATTTTTGTGCGTCAAAAGGTGACATAATTACTGAAGAATTATATGGCAGCTCTAATTACAAGAAATTGAAGGAAAAAACAGCTTGTCACTGATCATTTTAGTTTACAAAGTAGGAAGCAGTATATAAATATATTACTGTCCACTACAGTCTTATTTTTTGAGTACCCAATTTATTGTTCTCTTTTCAGGTTACCAGCTGACTTTTTCTAATTGTCTGAACTTCTGCAATTTGACTTTGGTTATTGTGCTTAGATTATCCCTGATTCTTTTCTGTTCAGGCTTGTCCCCCTAGATTAGTGGAAATGAAATTAAAATGGCAAAATATGCCCTACTTTTAAACTAATAGGTGCTGATCCTTTCTGCAGAGAAGTACAGAGTGTGTATTGACTAGCAGGTTCTGGTCCAAAATTTAAATACAGATGTAGCCATGCTACTTTAATATTAATGAAGTGAACTTCATAAAGAAAGTGGCCATTCTGTGAAGCTGCTTTAATGTATGGGTTTATTTTGAATAATATAAAAAAGAGTCAGTACTTGTTGTGTTAAGCTCTCATTGTCTTATCTGTTTCTCCATTCTGAATTATAGTGAATGCTGGACTGAAAACTACTCTGGACATATGTATTTTTTTCCATTGCGAATGCTGGCGCGCACTCTCGCTTGCTTTCTCCTCTCTCTCTCCTCTCTCCCTCTGCGCTCCCGCCCCGGTTTCACACATACACACACGCGCACACACAAAATTATGTTACCTCGCATCATGTGTTTATCTTGCAACAGGATCTTGCCTGGTCGGAACTTGGTGCTTGAGTGAATTTGAACTCGGTCAGTGTTTTTCAATTTATTGGAATACGAAGTTGTATGTGTACTGAAATTAGATAATATTAAGAACAGAGATTAATAAAAACATAATTAAATGAGGATAAGGTCTTACTGCTTTTAACAATAGATTAGCTGTGTTGTTTTCATAGCAGATTTCCAATCAGTAGTGATCTAAATGTTTGGAGAACACAAAGGTGGGAGTTTCCTCCCCTTCCTCGTGTAGAGAGTGTACAAAGTGTCGTGTGGCTATGTTATGTTTTTACCAAGTGACTTGTGTTTGAGATGTATTGTGTTTGAATATCAGATTTTTTTGAAACATTTATGTATTATGGGGGATAGTCTAGCTAATCTTTGTGCAAATACGCTTTCGAAAAGTCTCTTATTCTGACTCTTAAAAATCTTTCCAACACATTGAATATGTAAGTAACACAACTTTACAGGAATTTATAATTAATAAGTTCACTTTCTAGCTTCATTACTCCTATTAAACTGTTAGGGAGGGGGAAGCTATAACATATCAAGCTTGGTTCACCATTATTGTTTCTTCTATATAATAAAGGAATTGTCATGTTAATTTCTAACTCTTAAAAATAACTTAAGATCCAGTAGGGAAAAGAATCTGTTCTAAAAATCAACAGTTGAAATAATGCTGAAGTGAAATACTGTTTTTTCAGCGACGGAAGAGAAAAGGAGTAATAGAGTTAGAAGCCAGAATGGTGTTAGTTATTAGCTGTCTGTTGTCATGGTTCCTTGAAGGTGGTTTGTCATACATCAATAAATGCATCTGACTTTTATTCTTGATACTTCTAATTTTTTCTAAAGTGTTAACATTAGCTAATCGGAGCCTTCCTAAGTATATATCTAAGATTTCCAGATTCTGTTGTAAACATTTATTTATATGAGTTAACTTTGGGGATAATGGGACTGACTAAATGACTAAATAGTAGAGATTTCACAGGTGGAATTTAGAGCTGTGTAGGTTTGTAAAGTAATCACTGGAATAGCTGATCTTTCTACTAGTTAAAAAAAACCCACAAAAAACAACAAAAAACCACCCACCAAAAAACCCCAAGTGTTGATTGCCAGCTGTTCAGAGAGATAATTCTCAGTTGGACAGTTGTCTGTTGCCTGGTTACTGGAACAGAATAAAAAAAGTTAGCTTGTTAGCCAGCAGATCCTTAGTATTTTACATTTAAAAGGAAGCTGAAACCGAATATGTAACTTGGTATGATCTTGAGTTTGTTACATATCTAACTCACCCAGTGTACTATCGCTTAGCAGCACCTCATTTGGTAGACTTGGAGAAATTTTGAGTGGAAGCTTAAGTAGAAATTTTGCACTGATTTCTTCTACATGTAGGGACTCATTCATGTTAATGAGTGAATAAACTTTGACATAGTAAATGGCTTTGGTTTGTACAAAAGTGCTGCGTCTTTGTCTTGTATAAGAAAGGTTTAAACCAACTTGTGACAGATTTGGAATGGTTAGTCTAACTTTAACGAAAGATACAGACTAACTGTATCTGCACTTGGTTAGCACAATAAAGAACAAAGTGAGGATGGTTGTTATCACAGGGAAATACTGTATTTAATAATTTTCAATTTTTTTCTGTGATTTCTTTTGATTAGTTTTCAA